CTATATTTTATTGTTTAAACATAGTTTCTTTTAGTTCTTTTGACATGTTTCTAATAGCTGATTTGAAGTCTTTGCTAAGTCCAATGTCTGGGACCCATCAGAGGCCTTGTTTGTTTGCTTATTTGTTTTTTTTTTCTTTAATATGTGTCATATTTTTCTATTCCTTTGCATATCTCCTACTTTTTTTGTTGAAAACTGGAAATTGAACACAATATATTTTAACAACTCTGTATTTTCATTCTCCTACTGGAGTTATCGTTGTTCCTATGTTTGTTTGTTTAGTGACTTGCCTATGGAGACTTTCTCACTTGTGGTGCATAGATGCTACTGCTTTTGCATTTTTTTTCATTCTTGTTTCATTTTAATACTGGTTTCCTAGAGATCACCCCTGCATAAGCATTATTGAGCACAATGTTGTGCTCAAACATTGAGCCAGTAAGTCTTCTTCCCTTTGTTATTGGATCCGTATGTTCATTGGGAAACACACTCAAAGTTCAGGCAATTGTAAGTCAGCCTCAGCTTTTAATATATTTGTGTCTTTCTGTTGTCTCTTCTGCTCATGTACAAAGCCTCTCATTTAACCAAGGATGTATAGATAACTAGGACTGTCTTCTGTCTCTTCTGAGCATGTATATAGCCTTGTGTATTCATACAGCTTTTCAGGAGCCAGGAATATGTAGCTTTTATCATAGGCCACTAAGACTGTCTCATTCCCATGGTCTCCTATTAAATTTCTGGCTAGTCTGCTGGTTAATTGTTTGCCCTAATCAATTTCAAAAACTCAGGCCAGCTGTGACATTGGCCTTCCTTGTTCATTTGCCACAGCAATTACAACTGTTTTAGACAACTCTCTAGGTCATGGAGATTTTCGGCCTTCCATTCCAAATCAAATCAGCTCCACTGACAGTGAAGCTGCTTTCTTTCCTTGCTTGCTCCACCCTGATACAACTATAGCACCCGGGGATGTGGAGGCCAAGAAAGAAGCCCAAGGCTGAAACATCACAAGTTGCCAGAGTTCTTATCCGAGGTCCAGTAGTTTTTGTTGTATAAATACTTCTCAGTTTTTTATATGCCTTTAGTCAGTTTCCAATGGTTCTCAACAGAGGGTAATTCCCCCTCCTCTCAGAGGGTATTTCTCAATATCTGGACACATGTTTGAGTGTCACTACAAAGGGAGTGCTGCTGTTGGTAACTAGTAGGTAGAGAGGTTAGGGATGCTACTAACTAGCCTCAGTGCATAAGACAACCCCTTAAACATCTGGCAAAGAATTATACAGCACAACATGTCAATAATGTTGAGTCTGAGAAACTCTGATATTAGGAAACAGAAATACAGTTGACTCTTGAACCATATGGGTTTGAACTGCACTGGTCCACTTACATGTGGATTTTTTTCAATAAAAGTTACACTAAGTGTAACTCTCATGTCTCCGCTTTCACCTTCTCCTACTCTGGTTCTGCCACCCCTAAGACAGCAAGACCAACCCCTCCTCCATCTCTTCCTTCTCAGCCTACTTAACTTGAAGACAGTTATATGGAGACTTTTATGATGATTCACTTCCATATACATGTAGTAACTATATTTTCTCTTTTTTATGATTTTCTTAATAATATTTTCTTTGTTCTGGCTTACTTTATTGTAAGAATATGGTGTATAACACATACAAGATACAAAATATGTATTAATTAACCTTATGTTAACTGTAAGGCTTTCAGTCAACAGTAGGCTATTAGTAGTTAAGTTTTGGGGGAGTCAAAGGTTATACTCAAATTTTTCACTGGGCCAGGAGTCAGAGGCTCTAACTCCTGTATTGTTAAGGCCAACTGTATTTAAGTATAAAAACTCAGCATGTTCATCCACAGATGGTGCACACTGCACCCATTAGGTGTGAATATACCCATCCTCTCCTCCCTCCTCCCACCTACCCTACACTGAATGAATATTACTACCATATGTGTACATAAGTGTTGATCAATTAATACCAATTT